TCCCCTGATGCAGCTCTATGCCATTCCCTGGGTCCCTGCCCTTGTAGTTGAGGTGCCTATTCCACACACAACATGCTCAAAACTGCTCAAAATACAAGTCAGATATCTGCAAATTCAGCACTCTTGTTTTCCTCTCCCTGGCTAAGGTAATCTGTGACGAATTCTGAATGTCTTTCTGTTCAATTTTGTGTCATAAAATACACCATTTTAGCTATTTTCAAGGAAAGTGATAGGAACAACAGTTAGTTACCTCTTTCCTACTGAGAAAGTTTCAAGGCTGCTGCCAGAACTGTGGCAATCACAAGGCACTAATCTGCTGAGGTCTCCAGCGCAAGACACAGGACATTCAGTCTCTTTTTCTTCTTTTTTTAGTGCACAAGAAGTCAACACCTTAAAACTCGCCCCCAAGAACCTCAGATTTGCTGCAAACTACACAGCAATAACACAGTGGAAAGTTCTGCAAGTAACTTATTAAACTAGCTTTAACAAGAGTAGACGTTTTCCAATCAAACGGCCTCACTGCAGCTAAGCAAAAGGAAAAATGCTTTCAGTCTAACATTTCTCTCCCTAATTAGTACGGTTTGGAGAGTTTTAGTAGTTGGCAAATCTGAGCAGCCACTTAAAACATGTGTCTGACATTCATTTACTTGGCCTCTAATTATGTGGATCTAAACATTAGTGTAGTGTATATCTACCGAATATAAACACTGAAAAATGCAGGAAGACAGCACTTGCAATGAAGTTATCACAGAATCTGTTAACTGCAGAAACAGAAATCAATGATCTCCAGAGCAGCTTCGTAGAGTGATGGACACTTTATGGGGAGAAAGCAGCATCGATGAGCTAACACCCAGCTTGGGCTTCAAACATGATGGTATTTAAGTGCTTTGCAGTTGTTCAGCACTCGAAAAACTCTTCAATAACTGTTCATGAAAGCCTTTTGAAAAAGTTTAGATGCATATTGAAAAATTTAAACTTTATTTTTAAATAAAAGTTGCAAAGTTAGGAAATGCAAAAAATACGGTTTGCAAGATCACTTAGATTTCTAGGGATGGCTTTAAGTGGATTCTATAAATGTACCAACAAATGATTCAGGAAATGTGACTCCCACTCTAAGGGCAGGAAATGGATTATGTTGTTCCCAACTGGAACGATGAGACGATGTTCATTGTTCCAAGGGATGTCTACATGACCGTAAAGTCTCATACGGGAAAATTATTTCCCAATTTCCATTGCACAAAAGTATCTTATTTGAACAACAAAAACAATTTTATTGTTTAAAATCAAGGCAAAGTTTTTGCTAGCAATTGTCTGTTTTATACCAGAGGCAACAATGCTAAACATCTGCATATTTTATTAATTTAATAACATCCATGCACTTATTTTGTGGCTGCATGAATTCTAACAGATTCCCATGCGAGTCACACTGAATACTTGCACAAACTAATCTACTGATTTCCTCCTCCTCTGTACCACACCAATGTTAAAAAGCTCCTGAACTCCTAAACTCTCTGCACCCCTCTCCGCAAAGGACTGCGTGACAGCAGCTACTCACAGAACTGCTCTCTAAGTCCATACATTGCACCAGAAATGAGTTGCAGCAACCAAAGCCTAAGTCATTAAGTGAAGACAATTTATGTCCTGTTGTGCACAGCACCACTTTCCTCAAGAAGTGTCAAACAGGCTGTGACAGTCCCAGCATTTCTCAGAGACAAAGAACTTCCAGCAGACCAAGCTGCAGGATTTTTAGGGTTCTCACCATCAGTTCTCACCTTCTTCCTCCCTTTTACTGGGGGAAGAGAGAGCAGTATTCAAATTCATAGCTCTATGCAACTAAGTTTAGGAACTGTTTATAAACCTTTCCTATGAGGAATGGTAGTAGATCACAGAATTACAGAATGGCCTGGGTTGAAAAGGACCACAATGCTCATCTAGTTTCAACCCCCTGCTATGTGCAGGATCGCCAACCACCAGACCAGGCTTCCCAGAGCCACATCCAGCCCGATCTTCAATGCCTGCAGGGATGGAGCATCCACAATGTCCTTGGGCAAGACAGGGCAGAGAAGGAAGACAGAACACTGTGGACAATGTCTTCCTGATGTTTCTCTTCACTTCAGCATGTAGCAAGAACATTTGCAAGTGTTCTGACATCCAAGAAAGCATACCCTGAACTTCACAAAACCCATATCGCCATCATAAATCCAAACACTACTGACTGCTGATCACTAAACCTACGCACCCTGGGCAATCCTTCACACTGAAGCAAGGTGAACTAATGATGAACAGATCACTAGCCTATCTGCAGCCCCGTGGGATGTTAATGAAAGGATGATGCCACAGCAGCTAGTGGTCTTCCCAGATGCAGTGCAATCAAAGAGCCTGCAGTGCTTTTGGGGTCTTGAGGGAGAGAAAAATAAGTCAAAGGCCTGAGTGAGTCAGTGTGAAGTCCAAATCAGCATTCATTAAGCCTCAGTACTGCCACAGAATTCCCACATAACCCACTCTCTCCTTCCCTGTTTGGTCCTTGTGAGCAGCCCCTAACACACCCATCGATGCTCATTTCTCCATTATCTTACTAAGGATTCTGACAAAAATTCTTCAGCGTCAGCAAACATTAAATACCCCATACCAGACAAAGTTGCTCTGCCTTATGCTTACCAAGATGCTCAGCTCGTCCACAGACATTTCAGATAGCTTTCAAGAGACCCAAGTAACATTTCCCTAGTCTTCACAGGAATTACTGTCTTGGAACTCATCAAGTATATTTATTAACTTATTATTCTGACTCACTTAGAAAGGATTTCTCAACTGCCACCAACTAACAGGATGATTATTCAAAATCCACCAGTAATTGCAACCAAGCCGACATTCCTCTCAAAAACAAACTGCACACAACCATAGAGACTCACTTCCATGTACCCCTCAGTCAGTCAGAACTCACCCATCTTTTGTTACAGAAGGGAAAACAGAGCTCTTCCACACTCTGCATTTCCCTTAGCCTCCTCCTGAAGTCCTCAGGCTTATGCCAGTTTCTTGCCACAAAACCAGCAGGGTTTCATACAAGCTAATCCCCAAAAGCGAGAAGTTGTCATTCGCTGAAAATAAGGATGGCTTCAGCTATTTTTACATGAAAAATCCCTGCTGTATTTGCAAACTTACACTTTTTATTTTACTTTCTATACAGATTAAGCTCCTAATGGAATTCAAAGGAATGGTTCACTCTTCCTATTTATATCTGAAATACATTTTTAAGTCATTTTGGTAGTCTCACATTATGTGAGTTCATTGCAACATGCTAAAAAATAACACCAAATACACAGTTTGAAGATATGCTTAAGATTATGTATTCTGAACAACATTTCAGCATCTTCATTTTTACTTCTTAAAGAACTTCTGTTCATCTCTTTGTTCTTTACCAAAAGAGTGGCGAGGTGCTGGAAAAGGCTGCCCAGAGAGGCTGTGGATGCCCCGTCCCTGGAGGTGTTCAAGGCCAGGTTGGATGGGGCCCTGGGCAGCCTGGTCTGCCATTAAATGTGGAGGTTGGTGGGGGAACTGGAGCTTTGTGATCCTTGAGGTCCCTTCCAGCCCAAGCCATTCTATGATCTACTATAATTATTTCTATTAATGTTCTTTGCCATCTGTCTAAATGGATAAAAAAATTGCATGCATTCATCTATAGAGGTGTTGTCTATGCAATACTTAGTGAGACAACAGCGAGTGGTTCAGCTCCTAACAGAATCTGCATAAATCACAGTGTGACAAAACATTCAGTCAGTACTTTTGACTCTGCTGAAACATTACAAAAAGATAGAGTGGTTCCCTTGCATTCCCTACCCAAGTTACTAGAAAACACACATTCCATTCACGGTATTATCTCCTGGAGAAATGCAGCCATGTTTTGAGGGACCCAGGCAGTAATTAAACAAGGGCTCTGCTTACAATGTTCCTCTGCCTCCCTCTGGGGATGCGAAGCAGGTAGAAGAGAAAAGTGTGAAAATCCGTGCAGTTGCCTGTGAGGGAAGGGATGGCAAGAGAAAAACGCACCAACATTTCTGCACATTCAAGTGGATGAGTAGAATACTGCAGCAATTTGTATTTACAGAACTGCCCTAGTTTCAGTATTAATGTAATAGAGAATATGATACAGCAGAAAGCTGGACGTGGGCAAGAACGGAAGGAAAAACTGGAATAGTAGAAGCAGAAGAGTCAAAAGTAGTTCAAGATTGAGGAAAAAAAACAGATTAAAGAAAAACAAAACAACAAAACAGACAACAGATATCCCTGCATTTAAGAGGAGACAGTTTTGTTTATTTATGCTTGCTCCTGTATTTACTACATTCTTGCAACACCCCCCAAGCTCCCCACAACATCACAGGAGTCATGGAGAATAAAGCCATTCCCAGCTGAGATTCAAGACAAATGAGGAAGTTGTACCAATGGAACACTTGGAGATCAAAGCTTAACATTGGATTTTCTCCCCCACATTAATGTTTCCAACAGAAGTTCTAATCTACAACAAAATCTCTATTCTATTTTACTTTAATCTTTTTTTTTTTTTTTTTTTTTTTTTTAGGCTGCAAGTGTAACAAGCAAAACTGGGTGCAGAGCCCATAGCATTTCTCATAAATCTGGTAACAAGCGAATCCCTGCTCAAAGCAGAACTACTGCTTTGCATAAACTCAAACCCAACTGTACGACAGACTTCTGATGGAAACCAGGCACACACAGAACTATGAAATGCTTATACACGTTACAGGTCCAAACGGAGCACTGGGAGGTTACTGCACGCAGTTTGATTTCTAACTGCTTCAAGCAAAGGAACATTTTTTGACTTTGGATTACTGCAGGCTTTGAAAAAAGTAGCTCAGCTCACACGTATCCTTCTTACAGCTATGGAGTCAACACAAAATTTGAGTGGTTCCATGAAAAACAAACACACCAACTACCCAACCATCTACAAGAACACTGTGTCCCGTTGGGTCTGTGGAAGCAATACCCACCTGCAGTGTGATCCTGAGCAGTGGGGATGGTGTCAGCAATGCTCCCACCTGCACCAGGCCCTGCTTTTTTTCTTTACACTGCTACTCAGCACAATCTGTGAAGCCACTGTCATACCCTCTGATCTTCTACATTTGTAGACTGTGAAATGAAACAGCCCAGAAAACACATTATCTGAAATGCATCTCATTCTTGCATGTCAGCTTCAGTTTTTCTTACAAACTTGGTATGCTACAAAAGATCCTAACGAAGGAATGGACATAAAACTTCTGCAGCCTGCGCTGATGCATTTTTGGGTTTTCATGAAACAAAGATTTCAGGCTCAGATTAAAATAAACTTTGCCAAGTTATTTTCAAAGCATTTAACTCTTGGCTCGACACAAGTAGAGATGACAACCAGAAAAATCTCTCTGCTATATTCAAAACTTCTGCAGGTAAAAACCACTTTTCCCTGGATATTTGATGATCTCCACACATGTCTACTGTAACCAATGTGTTATCAATCTTTTAGTATGTCTTGAGGAACTAGATAACTGCAAACATAAAATCCCAAATCTCCTCTGCAGTTTTAACTATGTACTTTCTGTGCTAACAAGCTGCATGACTTCCATTTTCAAGGCTAAGAAACCTCTCACTTTTTGTGCTGAACAGGAGTGTCACTTCCAAACAATAGGAACTGACTTATGTGGAAAGCTGCTGAATCAGAACAAGGACACCTAGATGAGAAGATGCAGACAAAAGAAAGTACAGCCCTCTAATCCCTCCACACCTACTTTTCCACTGCTGTATGGCCAACCATTAAGGGAATATATGTGTGTGTGCAAGTGCAGACACATGCTAGGAGGATGCATGCTAATAAAGTGGAATAAAAGTGTAACATAAGAACTACTTTCACTGCTGCGGTACATATGCATGCGCTTTATTGACAAAACAAAGCTCTTGAAATCACTTCTACAACTTCTTTACACCACACAACAAGCTCAGTCCAGCATCTATAGAACTAGCTTAAGTAATGCATATCATAGAGGACATGAACAGCAAGACACTTGAAAAAAAGTTCCTCAAAATAATGTGGATGAAAACTAAGAGCGAAGTCCAAGAAGGCAGCCTGACATTGCCTTCATTTCCATTGGGACTTACATGCAGAGAGCTCTGCAGCAGAAAGACAACTGAGGTCTATCACCTGTAACTGACAGCTCTGCCAGTGCAAGAGGAAACCTACCTTAAAACTATACGGTAGCTTCAAAGAAAAAGTACAAAATTGGATTACTTGCAGCAGTGTACACACAAATACACACTGGAAAAACAGCACAGCCTGTACAGGACAGATCCATGCATTAATACTCCAAAGTTTGGGACTTAAACGCAGAACTAGATGCAGAAATCTAAACTTTGGGTTACTACAGAGATACTTGTTCTCATTTTGGAGATTGTCACTGTAACACCTTCAGACACATTTCCTCTGTAAGTGTACAACTGCTCTTAAACCGGCACATTTAGGAAAAGAATTTGTTCACCACTAATGAAATTAAATCTTTGCACATACATCCAGAGGTAACACCTGGCCCTCATCTGTAAGGCAAACATTTCCCAAAGCAACTCAGAAAGCACCTGCCTGCTAATCTGAAAGGCACAGCATGTACTCTGAGTGGGATTTAAACTAAACCTGGCTATCGTGCTTTGGTATCCAAGCCATTACTGTAAAGAAACTGAATGCAACATGTTTGAAATTACACTGCAGACGGTAGAACTGAATACATTTTCATCTTCTGATGCCATTTAAAATTCCTTCCTACCAAAGGAAGGTGAAGTGCATTTGACTTCACGGTTAGAAGCACCACAAACGACTGCACAGCTGTATTTGTTCTTATGGGAGGAGAAAAGGAACCTTACATGAAAAGACTTCTTGTTCAGAGCGACAGTCTTGTCACTGGCTGTGTGACAGCGCTGCAACTGTGTGCAGTAATCACAACTGCTATGTTATGGGTGGGGAAATTCACATCAGGCATTTCCAACTACATTTACCAAAGAGAAGAGAAAGCAGCAGCTTGATAAAGTTTTCACATACCTATACATATGATACATGCAATGAGAAGTATTTATAAAGCACGACTACTCGACAGCTTTAAGAAGAGAACCCAGTGTATTAATGCTCATTTCATAGGAGGGCTCAACACAAGAGAATTTAGTGATCTCTTCACTGCAATGGGCAGGGCAGTGTTTTGTCCTTCCACGATCAAGTAAGGCGTGAAGACATACAGGCAGGTATTTAAACCATCTCCTGGGTGATCTGCCTCTAAGAACTTGGTCTAATCATGCTGGAGATTTAGAAACCACTGTACAAAGAATGGAAATCATCAAGGAGAAAGCATTTACAAAACTCTCCATTGCAGATGTTTCTGTGTGCAGTCATATACCATTTCAGCAAGCAAACAAAGTCTATCTAAAAGCAAAGTAGAAAATGCTTTCACAAATCCCATCCAGCCCCCCGTCCTCAACAAGGGGATGTCCTGCTCAATGCTCACTCCAAACACCTGCCCTAAGGAACTCCCCCGAGAGCAAACTATGAGGCAAACACACATGCAGCTTTCCATGTGCACCACAATCCTACATAACATTTAATACACGCTGCCACAGTAAGACAGAACTTCTCACTGCAACATAGGCAAGCCCAACTCTTTCAGTCAGCCTCGTGTGGTGGCAACCACGACATCAGATATGGTTACAGTGACCTCAGCTCTGTGTCAACACCCCAAATGCTGGAGAAAAACATTAAGTAGCACAACGATACTACAGAAATTAATTAACACAGCTATTTCCAATTAATGCTGGAAGAAAAACCAACAGCTCTATTCAAATCCTACGTACTTCCCTAGGTGCAACATCCACATATGAAACTGCAGAACGCGCACTATTGAGCGGTTCCTCACATGCATCTGCCTTCTAACCACTCTGCTGGGCCAAATTCCAGATTCTGAACTCTCTGCACACTTGGGAGAGCTGTCAGCTGATTCAGCGCCGTTCCTCCACACACGACCCGAAGCACACCGCCGAATTCCCATCTCCCTTTTGCTCCACGCCTCCTTCTCCCACCAACACAACGCATCCGCGCTCGCACGGCCACGAACTGAGCCGCGGGTCACAGGGAGGTAGAAAATAATTCTGCTTCTCGGCACAGCCGCTTGTGTCGGCAACGCTTTGGCCCCAGGGATGGCCGACCGTACTGAAACACCACGTTTTATCACCGAAAACGGGGTAAACACACGCGAAACGCGTCGGTATCCCGCACAACCGAAGCGCGGAGCCGGGAGGCAACAAAGAAAAGAGAAACTAAAAGAGATCTCCGGGCGCTTTGTTCGCGCGCCGCACATAAACCACAGCGATAAGGCGGACAGGAAAAGTTTCGCCCGTTCCGCAACGGCTCACACGGCGCTCCGGGAACGGCGGACAAAGCCCTGCCGGCACCGTCCGTCAGAACGCGGCGCCGCGGGGGGCGGGCAGGAGCGCAGCGAGGCGCAGCGCAACGCCGCGCAGCCCCGCACGACGGCGGCCGCTCGCCCCGGCTTCTGGTCTGCAAGCACGACCGCAGCCCGAGCCCTCGGAAGGGAAGCGGCGGCGGCCGCCCGGTCCCGCCCTCCGCACAGCCGCGCTCATCACAAAGCCCCGCGCCGCCGGCGCTCCCTCGGCCCGAACAAAGCCCCCGCCCCGCTCCGCCCCGCCGCCGCCGCCCGCTCCCACCTCGGCGCCGCGAGCACACAAAGGCGGCCGGCCCGCCGCGCAGGCCCCGCGCCGCCCCGCCACAACATGGCCCCCTCCCGCCCTCGCTCCCCTCCCTCGCCGCAGACAAAAGGGGGCTGGAAGGAAGAAGGGGGGCGGCCCGCCCCGCCCGCCCGCGGCCTACCCCCCGCGGCCCCGCCGCTACTCACGGGCTGGCTGGCGGCGCCGCTCGCCGCGACGGAGCCGGAGCCGGAGCCGGAGCCGGAGCGGGCCCTGGGACACCGCCGCCCGCCCGCCGCCCCCCGCTCCTCTCGGCGCCTCTCCTTCCGGCCTCCCCTCCCCCCCCCTCGGCCGCGAGGGGCTCACAACAACATGGCGGGAGGGCGCGCGCGGAGGGAGAGGGAAAGCGAGAGCGCGGCAAAGCTCCCCCCGCCGCCACCGCCGCCGCTCGCCCCTGCCGCCGCCACAGCGCATGCGCGCCCCGCGCCGGGAGGAGGCGGGGAGGCGGCCCCCGGCCCCTTCCGCCGCGCACCGCGCATGCGCCGCCCGCCGGCGTCCGTCCTCCCCTCGGAGCGGCCCTTGCCGCCGGGCCGCGCGTCTCTGCTCTGCCCTCGGGCTGTGCGGCCGCCGCTGCTCTCGGGACGTTTTCGACGTTATCGGCTTCCCAGAGGGAAGGCCGCGGAGCGGGGAAGGGCGCGTTGTTCATACAGTCAACAGTAAACGCGTGGCCGGAGTAACTGCTTGGCTGATGTGCCTGCGCGTGATGGCTGTGGGAGGATTTAGTTCTTTCCTTCCCCGAGAGCGTGAAATACGCGACCTCAGAGGCAGCTGTTGATAAATGCATCATTACATTGCAGTCAGTGAGCACTGCTGGAACCACAGAATGGCAGGGGTTGGAAGGAACCTCTGGGGTTTGTGGACTCCATCCCCCTGCTACTGCAGGTTCCTTACAGCAGCTCACTGCGGGGTTTGTCGGCCACGCTGAGTTCCAGCTCCAATTATTCGCAGCAGCTTTTCCTTCCTAGGACACAGAGCCCAGGCTGTCAGTGTCACTTCAAAACACAGATTCCACGAGGAGATACGCTGTCTGCCTCCTCAGCAGGTCCGCTAAGCCTGGCTGGCTGCAGGGCACTCGGGAAGCCATCCCTAGATCACACCTTAGGGTGGGACCCCATTATCGGTCCCAGCAGGCTGCACAGCACTGCTGCCCCAGCTCCTCCTGCACGCAGCAGGCCTGCCTGCCGCCCCAGGGCTCATGTGGTGCCTGACTGGACAACAGCACTTAAGCGGGGAGCAGAGACTTGCCCTGCTGGGGAGCAGAGGTCTGCCCGCCAACTGTCTCCTTAGAGGCATCCTGAAGGACAAACTAGCTGCTGGGGACATAAAAGATCCCATTTCCTGATAAATGTGTTCCTAAGAAATGAAAATGATTTCTTCAGCTTAACGCTAAGCAGCCAGACGCCTGCCTAATCCCTGTGATCCCGTGTCCTGTCCCACTGCCACCTTTGTTTGCAGGCCTGCAGAGCCAGTTCCTCTGCTCACTGGAGAAGAGAAGACCTCCGAGTCACAGCCTGTGCTGCAAGCAGGGGCTGTTCTTGCTGTCCCAGGCAGCAGCAACAGCTGGTCTGTATTATACCAACTCAGACCCTTCTGGAGGCTCAGTCTCTCCTGGGTAATTCTGACCAGCATCAAAGCACGTGTATGAAGCATTCAGTGTTCAGGAGGAATTCGACATGTGTATGATAAACTTGGAGGACTTCTGCATGTCTGCTCCTCAGTATTGGAAAACCCTGTTTAAGTGCATTTGATCTGAGAAATATGATTGCTTTGTTATTTTCTTAATAATTTTTCTAGAGAGTAAATTCCATAACCACACACATCACAGTTTAATAATATCACTGAAGTTCTGGCTCATGTTAAAAAAGTTCAAGAATAGTCTTTCTCTTTTCCTCTGAGTGGAAAATTTAAAATTACTTAATGCTTGACATACTTTAACTTAGTGCTGCTCCATTACAAAATGTTTTTCTTACCTATTTCTTTTTTGTTAAGGAGATATTAACAGCTAACTGGGCTCTGCTCACACTCCAGGTGTTTCTGATAAACTCCACCAATAGTCTGGCTATGTTTTTTTGTTGTTTGTTTTGGGTTTTTTTTGTTTTTTTTTCCCGTGTTTGAGCATCCTCAATGCCATCCAAATGTATGGCCCACAGTTTAGAAAAGTAGCCAAGGATATGGAAAATCAGGGTGCTGCTGCCTTCCTCCAGAGTCTTGCTGTGCAACCTTGGACAAGTTCCCTAATCAAGGAGCTGCAGTCCTAACCATCCCACTCAGCTGGTGTCTACACTTTCCAAAACCACAACATTAGGACCCAAAGCTCTCCATGTGAACAAAATTTCTCTTGGTGTGCCAGGAGGTGCACGTCCTCCAGTGTCTCTGATGTATCATGCTGTTAGACCTAGCATGGCAGCAAATAATTAACCTGACTTAATTAAATCAGAGGCATTTCTCCATGGAAATTAAACAAACTGATGCGGTAGACCTTCTCAAAGCATCTCAAGAAAAGGTGCAGGTCCTATGAAAAGTTGTGCTCTTTTAAACAAATGTGAACCCCCTTACATCTCAAAGACTGGGGGCCACCTAGATTTGATTTCTTCACTCGAGACCTGCAGGTCTGATTTTTTTACAGAGTCATGAAAATCAGCCACAGCTTTGTCTGTCCTCTGCTGCAGGGAAGAACTCAAGAACCTCTGTCTCAGACCTGCTTGCAGTCTGATCACCATCCTACTGCTCGTGAGGAGCAGTCATGAAAGGGTGAGCCACAGTTCACTACCTACCACCTTCAGGCTGCACAGCACTGCAGATCCAAATTGATTAGAGCTATCTGTCCACATTCCAGAGCAGGGCCCTGGAGTAGCAGGACATCCCCCGAGCACATCCCTTGTTACCTACATCTCCACAAGAAGTGCTGACTCAGATGAATGCTTTGTGCGTTCACAGGAGCAGGTCCTGTTCTGATGAAGTTATTAATTATCCCACACGCCGCATAGTACATCTGGCAGCTCATGCACAGTTCTGGATTTCACTTTGTCAACAGACATACCCTAAATTATTTAAAAAAAAACCTGAGATACCACCTGCACAAGATTCGTTGCTAAATGCATGGCTGTGGGAAGCTGTTGGTATTTCACGTTTTAGACCAGCAGTGGCAGTGATATTTAGGAGTGTGTACCGAGATAAGAGCTGTAGCCCAGTGCCCCAGCATCCCCTTCGGCCAGCCTCTCCCTTGGGCCTCACGTATTACTTACACAGTGTAGATTTTCACAGAGGGACTTTCCCACCCACACATCCTTTCTCCTCACCTTTGCTTTACAGACATAGACTTTCCATTCACCACACTCACTCAGAGTTGTTTTTGCCTACACAGCCTGTTCATTAATGCAGCTCTTGCTGCAGCATCTCCTTGCACTAATACTGCCTGAAGCTTCAGAGGCTACTCCTGCCTCAAACCTCCTGATACAGAGACATTTGACCCAATGTATGCAAGTGCCTGATTTTAATGTTGAAATGCACACCTTTGAGCTATTTTCTGTGAATGTAACGGGAAGAACTCTTCTGAGTTACTTTAGCATCCTTCACATTTTCCATTTAACAGCACAAAAACTGGCACAAAAAGGCTTTCCTTTAGTGTGATTCCTGTAAACCATTTGACAGCAGCCATGCTATCAGTTTTCTGAAAGCCCATTCTGCTATGCTGCTCAGAATGGTTCCATGTGTTTCCCTTGCTGGTGCAACTGTAAGTTTCTTCAGGGAAGACCATCTTGGATTACTTATTTTACTTTATTTTTTGTACTAGCTATCAACTGGCATGGCACAGTAGGCCAGTACAAATGAGAATGCTTCGTGTTAGAACCAACAGAAGTGCTCAGCTGAATTATGACAATTTTTGCTGCTAGTCACAGTTTTGGACTTTGACGTTGCTATCCTGTTGTTTCAAAATGTAGGGAGGCTGACTTGCCGTTGAATTAGATGGTTAGGTACGGTTGGACTAGATGACCTTAGAGGTCTTTTCTAACCTTGGTGATTCTATGGTTCTGTGATTCTATGGCCGTTGCGTCTGAAAAGATTTCCAGCCTTCCAAAAAGCTTTTCTTCCAGAGGTTTAAAGGAAATGCACAAAAGGGGGTGTCAGTGAATTGAACCCTGCAGCATGTCTTCATGAACTTGTTACGAGAAAGAAGTATATCTCGTGGAAGTGCTTTGCCAAGTCTGTGCTAACACTGCCCAGAAGTCAGCTGAACGCTCGTTTCACCAGTAAGACAGCTTTTGTCCTTGAGTCATTCACCGCCTCCTAATTGGCTGGGGTATAAACAAGGCTCATAAACATACCTCAGAGTTGCAACAACCAGAGACAGCCATTGTAACAGGAGTGACTAATGACATCACTACATGTACATAAATGGGAATAGCTGTGGAGTGGCAAAGTCAGAGATAATGCCAGCTGTTTTTTAGTTCCACATTCATCTCATCCTCAGCAGAGTGGCTGTCGGCCCTTATCTTAAGAAAAAAGCTTTCTTGTCTCAACAGAAGTATGTTTTTCTTTCCTTTGGAGAAATAAGTTCCAGAAATTCTACATGCTAAGTGAAGATTGTGGCTCTTAAAACCAAGGATTGCCTATTGTATTCAGTACAAAGAATTAAACCATAGAGATAAACATTACATTGATTCTCACTCATTTCATATATTACACTGTAATGAGTAAACACTCTTATTTCTAATAGAAGATAAGAAGTTCAAAGAACTATCCCGAGCAATGAAGTAATCACATGAGCACTTGAAAAAAAAAGGCAGTAATAGTAATTTGTTTTGTGCAAGTAGATGAAGAAGATAGTTCATTCAGCCATGTCCAAACAAAGGATGGGGGCAAGAACGTATTTTTTTTTCTCCTAAGCAAAACCATTATAGGAATCCTCAGAGCACGTCTGGAAATTGTAATT